ATGGTTGCACATGCATATAGCTGCTGCCAACCACGTAGGGGCCTCCAGTTAGTACTTGGACCGTGTCGTCGTGGTTGCTGAAATGGATCAAGTAAAAGCCGTTCTCTAGGTCCATCATATTGCATCCCGACATGAATGGCCACATTCTAGTGAGTCGATTGTAGAGGGAGGACATGGTGAGCGTCTCGTCGAAAGGTTTTAACACTACGACGTTCTGCCAATCTTTATTGATTTGGTTGAAAATGCGTTGTGCAATTGTGATTCCCGGCACTGGGCACGAGAGGTAAACCAACACGTCATCCTCTTCATTCCCCTGCCCGTCGTCGTCATGATCCATATCCACATGGTGTCTTTGTTTGCTTACCATCTCCTTGGAAGACCATTTGCGAGGCGGCGGATCTTGTATAGGTGCCTGTGTCGGTGGCTGGAGCAGCGGGGCCTGCTACTCCATGGGTTCGCCGGAATGCTTGCGGGTCTTGGGGCGCTTTGTGGCCGGTAGGACATTACGGTCTAGTACCGAGAATTCTGTTTCAAGGCTTAGGCGTCGAGATACATCACCGGGGTCAAAGGTAGTCGTGCCGTCGTTAGGGATGTGGCGGCCGTCGTCAGACATCGTCGTTAGGGTTTTTTATTTTTTTCTAGTTCTGGCTTGACTTACATGTTGAGTGATCCGATTAGTGTCAAGGCTTGGGACACTAATTCTATTCAAATCAATAATATATAAATTTTCATATTTAGTATTACTTTTCTTGCAATAACGAGATGGTAAATTTTTAAAAATATTATTAGTAACAAGCTCGTACGTACATTGCACATGATATAAAAAATAAAAAGAAGGAAGGATGGGCCGAGTCGGGGCAGGACAAGATATTGTACTCGGACCTAGCCCGCTTAGCATACAGGTTAGACTAGATCCTACCGTTTCAGAAACAAAGTAGGCCAAGCCTTCCTGGGTCAGACCAAGTTGGGGCGAGTTCAAGTGGTTTTGTCATACCTACATCAAGCCCACGTCGCATGACATCGCATGACAGATGCCAAAGTTAACCAAACAAATTACGGTGCCGTTGCCGCCGTCAGAGAACGTAAGGGCACATTCGTCAAAACGCTCGCAACCTTGTCCCCTTCCCCAAGTACTCCGCTTTCTTCCCGTCTCTTCCACATTCCAATCCTCAACCCTCCATTAAAACGACAATTAAAGATTATTTACACCAAAATTGAACACGGAACAATTCGATAAAATATGAGGAGCGGCTCAGGCGAGACGAAATTCGTGCAAGAGCTGATTCTCTACGCGGCGAGCGCCGCCCTGAGTTGCCTGGTGCTGTTCGTTGGTCTGAAGCAACTGGACCCCAACCGTGACGCCGCCAAAAAAGCTCTCGCGCAGAAGAAGGAAATCGCGAAGCGGTTGGGCAGGCCGCTAATTCAAACCAATTCATATGAGGTTGCTTTTGAATTTTCCTCCATATTTGTTGTTGAGATATCCGTGTGCATCGATTTGTTTGTGGTATCAAATGTATTAAGTTTTTGTTTTTCCCTAAAATTTTCGGCTGTTTCTTAACGTACCGAAGAGTTCTCTTGCTTTTATTTGGTTGTGGTTCCGTATTCGTTAGGAGTTTCAGTTTTCCGGTAACTTTTCTGTATTTCACTATGGCAACATTTGAATTTTAATCAGTCTTATTCGAATCATCATTAACGAGAATCTGTTGGTGCTAGAACTTTGAAGTCCTGTTCAAAATGATTGGTACTGGAGATCTTGAAGCTTGATTTTTTTTTTTTTTTTTTTTTTTTTTTTTTTTTTTTTTTTTTTTTTTTTTTTTTTCTTGTTCTTGGTCATTCTCAATTTGAGTTAAATTTTAGAAGTCTTCAGTAAGGTTGAAAATTAAAATTTTCTTATGGTACTTATGATAATACTTCTTTTTCTTATTGTTAATTAAATACCTGTTAAGATTTTCTGAAATTCCCCTTTCAAACATGATGAGTCTGGTGATTGTTCCTTGAAGTCACAATTGTTAGCATAATGCTGCTTCTTATATTTCATCCAATTACACTTAGTAGGTTGAATTAGGCCTTTTGGCTACAATGGTAAAATTTACCTTATTTGTGCATCTGGGTGTGGAATAACATTAAGAAGTATGTTACTGACTGAAGATAGTTGAAGTTGCAGTTCATTTGATGTCTAGATTAGACTTTATTTATTTATTTATTTATTTATTTATTTTATTCTTTTTGAGGTCTAAATATTGTGGTTACTCATGTATCGATGCTTCATAGGATGTTATAGCCTGTGATGTAGTCAATCCAGATCATATAGACGTGAAATTTGAATCCATTGGAGGGTTGGACGCGATTAAACAAGCACTGTATGAGCTAGTCATTCTGCCACTGCAAAGACCTGAACTGTTTTCTTATGGGAAGCTTCTTGGTCCACAAAAGGGTGTTTTACTATATGGACCCCCTGGCACCGGGAAGACAATGCTTGCCAAAGCAATCGCAAAAGAATCAGGAGCCGTTTTCATTAATGTGAAAATATCAAACTTAATGAGCAAATGGTTTGGAGATGCCCAGAAGCTAGGTGTGCTATACTTCATTCATCTTGTAAAGTCTTTTCTCGTTGTTTAGCCATTTGCATTCTGTTTAAAGTGTATTCCTTGTACAGTTTAATGTCTATGAAAATATGAATGGTGATGTATGTACTTTTATTTTATAGTTCCGAGACCATTCATCTTCTCCATTTTCTTAGAAACAAGACAGGGATCCATTTTATTGCAGATTTGACAATCTCCCATGCATTATGTGATATGTGAAATTTAGTAGGCCATATGGCATATGGATGGCTGCCAAATCAGCCTTTGGTCTCTGTTATGGAGCCCTATCTGGTTTTGTTGATTATTTTTTCATCTTCTTGCTTTTCTATAATTTACTTTTGCGTTAGAATGTATGGTAGAGGGACCTTGGGGTAGAAGATTATGTGCTAATTGTTCATTTTTGTTTATGTTTAGAATTAGTTCATGTCCCGATTCCCATAGTAAATGTAGTAGACTTGATCCTTCAATTGGAAAGTGAAAGAAATATTGTGATACTTGTTATATATTCTTTTAATTGATTTATTATCTTAGTATTTTGAATACCATTCCATATTTTAATTTCCTTGTATGATTTCTTTTGTTGCTTGTTCAGTGGCTGCTGTGTTCACCTTGGCTTACAAACTCCAGCCTGCTATAATCTTTATTGATGAAGTGGATAGCTTTCTGGGCCAGCGCAAATCTACAGACCATGAAGCACTGACTAACATGAAGACTGAATTTATGGCTATGTGGGATGGTTTCACCACAGACCGTAAGTTGTCTTTATCTCCTTGGGATGGATTGTCTTCTATTCTGCTCTTACTGTTGTTAGCTTAATTACAGGGTTATAGCTAATAGTTATGACGGTTGCTTGATTCCAAGGCCGTAGAATTTCTTTGTTCATTATAGTTTAGAATTACTTACTATATAAAGCTGTGTTTTATGGTTTATTACAAGAACTATCTGAGTATCAGAAATCCATTCCCCCCTCCCAACCCCACCCAACAACAACAACAACAACATACCCAGTATATTCCCAACAGGTTGGGGTCCGGGGGGTCAGTTGTACGCAGACCTTACCCTTGTAATTATTTATCAAAAAAAAAAAAATAAAAATGTTAGGATAAAAGATTTCCTTTGTCATTTACTTTTTTACTGGTACCTTCACTGGTGGAGTTATTTATCATGTAGATACACTCGAGGAGTCGAGGGGGACTTCTTAACTGTTTAAGGGGGTTGGAGTTTTTTGTTTTTACATTAATTAACCTTCAAAAGATGTGTGGGTTTGTTAATATTCATTGAACTTTATCGATGCAGAACACGCTCGGGTCATGGTACTAGCCGCTACAAATCGTCCATCAGAACTTGACGAGGCAATCCTTAGACGTCTTCCCCAAGCATTCGAGATTGGGTTGCCTAATCGTAAGGACCGGGTTGAAATATTGAAGGTGGTTTTAAAGGGTGAGAAGGTTGAAGATGACATTAATTATGATTGTATAGCCGCCCTATGTGAGGGTTACACTGGTTCTGATATTCTCGAGCTCTGCAAAAAAGCTGCATATTATCCGATTAGGGAATTGCTTGAAGATGAGAAAGCAGGAAAACTAGCTCAGGTCATTATTCTCTTTCCGTCTTGTTTGTCCATTTTTTAAGTTAGTTGTCTTCAACAGTTAATATAAGTTCTACATTTTATTATGTCACAAGCTATTGTTGATACTGGGCTAATAATATAGAGGATAAAAGGCAGATTGTCAGTTTTATAATGCTGCGTCATTACCAGTGATTAAAATAGCGCGCCATGGCGTCGCCATGGCGCGAGGCGAGGCGAGGCGGGGCCTTGTCGCTTCAGACCCTTGAGGCGAGGCGGGGTTCGAAAAGGCGTCGCCATGGCGTCGCCTCGACTGTAGCGCTACATAGAGTGAGGCAACGCCTTATAAATTTGAGGCGAGTCGGGGCAAATAGGGAATTTCATAGTTAGGGTTTTACTATACGAGAAGATAAAACATCTTCAATTAACAAATATTACTTACGCAAACGCAAAATTACGTTGGGGCTTCTCTTCCAACTGTGACGGCGACCAATTTTCAGCAACCCACCGGCGACAGCAAGAGGTCATCTTCTTCTTTGTTTGCTTTCCTTTTTCTTTTACTTTTCTGGAAACGTCCGCCGGGGGCTGGGACTTGTTCAAGTTTTGAGATTTTTTTTTTTTTATTATTAATTTA